GCCTTAGGAGAGCCGACAGGGTTGCTAGCCTTTGGTCAAGCTACCGTCCTAACCGTTAGAGCGTTAGCTGTGCACAAAAGTTTGGGTTTGAATCCCACGGAAGCTGCTATGTCCGGTGAATTATGCCCTGTTGCCAGACAGGGAAGTATTGGGCACTACACTTGAGTCATTTTAGTCATTAATAATAAGAGAAAAGAAAATGCAATTTATTGGCCTGACGGTTCGGCTTCTCAGCTGAGCCCATCACCAGCGAAAGCCGCAGGTAAGGGGAGTGAAATATGCATACGGGCGCATATTGCGCATAAATGAACTACATTTTCTAACATGTTCGAGTTTTGGATAGGGAAGAAAATAATATTCTCCAACGCAGTAATTTCATTAAAAAAAGGATTGAAACCCACTAGACGCTCTGAGAAAGACGTCGCATATAAATGTTTGCAAAGTCTAGAAGCCCGCACGAATTGGTACAGCTTCCCCAGGTTTGGAGTGAAGGAAACACTTTTTACCCGATACGACACAGAAAACATCGTCTTCCGAAAAATCTAGAATAATGATAATAAAAAATATTATTCTACGTTCTCAAAAACTATCAATTAGTAGTTTCAATTTCTTCAATATCTTTCAGGAATCCATGAAAGGTGTGCGGGGCTCCCGTGGAGAGAGTGGTATCGCAGGTCCTGATGGCCCGATTGGCCCTCAAGGTCCAAAAGGTGAGACCGGAGCTCAGGGCGATACTGGCTTCCAGGGCAGACGAGGACCTGTGGGCCCCATTGGTCTTCAGGGTCCTAGAGTAAGTTTATTCTCTGTGTCTCTTCTTTATGCTCCATTTTTTGAACGTCTCATACAGTTTGCCAGCCATTCCTTCTTCCATCCTCGCCTCAGCGTTCGCTTCATTCTCATCCACGCTCATCCTCTCTCTCCCCCATCCTTCTACTCAACCCTTGTATCATCCTCATTATTATTATTATTATCATCACCACCATCGTCATTATTAATATTATTAGTATCATTGCTTGCACAGACTTGCTCCTTAAGTTATTAGCCCAAAAGGACAGCATAGTCAGGATACCTTGATAGACCGACAACACTTTGTTTGTTAGCTGTTGGGCAACGATTGACTGAAACAGGTCTCCTTACCGTATTCTGGTCCTGGCTTCTCTGAGAAGCAAAGCTAATTTATAAAGCCTAGGAATTATATTGGGCGCTATCGATCATATTTTCGAATTGCGTACTCCAGAGCGTAAAAGTTACTTGCTACGATGGATCCCTACCGGATCAGCTTTTTATGAAATCCTCCGAATTTAATTCCTCAAGGGATGTCTTATAAATGTTACAGAGTACCATTTTTAAAAATAATTAAGGAATATTTCTTTTCAACTCTTCCAAATAAGCCTGCAGGTATTCATATGAATTTTCTTGTATTTGACAGGGCCGCGCTGGTCGCGATGGCGATCGAGGTGATGCTGGACCCGCTGGTGCCAAGGTAAGGGCTGCGATTTGATAAAAATACCTCACAGACATTGCCTTTGGGAGTAAGGACTACTTATGTGACTTATAAAATGTATTGTGTCTTCAGGGTCCCGACGGAATGCCCGGTGATTCTGGTCCGATGGGCATGAAAGGTTACAAGGGCGCAAGGGGCACCATGGGCCCTAAGGGCGAGCCAGGTGGCCCCGGACAGGA